AATTCCTACACAAGTGTGGGCAGATATATCCATGGACTTTATAACGGGGCTTCCCCTTTCCTATGGCAAGTCCATCATTCTCGTAGTGGTTGATAGATTCACCAAATACTGCCATTTTCTCCCTCTGTCCCACCCCTTTACAGCCTCCATGATGGCTGAGATTTTTACTAAGGAGGTGGCACGACTACATGGTACCCCTAACTATATTGTCTCAGACCGTGACCCTATTTTTATGAGTCATTTCTGGGCAGAACTTTTTCGACTACAAGGAGTGAAACTCTTCAAATCTACCAGCTACCACCCTCAAACAGATGAACATACTAAGGTGGTCAACCGGAGTTTGGAAACCTATCTAAGGTGCTATGCAAGGGATAGGCCACGTCAGTGGCTCAAGTGGCTTCATTGGGCAGAATAGTGGTACAATACCACGTATCATAGTGCAGCAGGAATGACTCCCTTCCGAGCTCTATTCCCATATGAGAAAGGGTCTACAGCAGTAGCAGCAGTAGCAGACCAACTCCTCCAACGAGATAGGGTGTTACAAGATCTCAAATCCCACCTCCATCGAGCCCAACAATGGATAGCAGACTCCTACAACAGAAGGCATAGGCCTGTCCAGCACCAGATTAGGGAGCAAGTCTTCCTTAAATTACAACCATACAAGCAAGTTTCAATAGCAGGCCACCGGTGGAACAAACTGAGCCCTAGGTACTTCGGCCCATTTCGGATTGTGGAACGCATTGGGTCGATGGCATACAGGCTTGACCTCCCAGCAACATCAAAATTACACCCTGTATTCCATGTATCCCTATTGAAGAAATGGCCAAAAACAGGAGCAATAACAACAACCACCCTCCCATCATTCTCGAAAGATGGCCAAGTTCAAATTGAGCCCACTCAAATAACAGATTTCAGGTGGATACGCAAAGGGAATCACATTGAACCAGAGGCATTGGTGGTATGGTCAGGTCTCCCAATTGAGGATGCAACTTAGGAACCTTACTTGGATTTACATAATAGATTCCCACATCTTGACCTTGAGGGCAAGGTCGCTTTCAAGGGAGGAGGGACTGTTGAGACACAAATAAAGGGARTACAAGTGCACAAGAAAAGGCCACGCCAACCTTAAAAGAATGTAACTAACAGCCAACCACTAGAACAAACTAGACAAGTGGACTGGACAAGTGGAGAGGCTGGKATAACAGAATTGTAACAGCAGTATATAAATAAGGAAAGGAAGTTAAGAGGGGATTATCGATTTGGGAATACAATCTCTCTCTCTCTCTCTCTTTCTCATTCAGGAGGCAGGCTCCCTCGAAAGAGTCCCTGAGTTAGGCAGTCCCTAACAATTGTAATATAAAGTATATAAGAATGAGGATTTGGGGCTAGGGGGCTTTGACAGCCTTAAGTAATGCCATTGTAACTTTTACATTTTTTTATTATTTGAATGATAAAATTTGTATTCATCAAAAAAAAAAATCATTATTAGTATATAGGTCTGTTAGTTCATTTAATTTAGAGAGTGAACAAACAGGAATTTTTCACATGACAATATGCTTTGGGGCCCAAAGGGTCCCATATGTTACTTGCCTGCATTTATTCATGAGGTACATTTCAGCTTAATCTGGCATAATCTGGGCAGAGAAGGGAAAGACATACCCATTCTTCAGCATATGTAGATGGAGGATCTCCACAGGTGCTCTGATCAGGCTCATAGTTCACCGACCTGCCATTTTCAGCATGTGCCTTTTGCATCTGATTATCCAAATCCAGCACACCACAATTCTGGAAAGGGGAATCTGATGTACCCTTGACACGACTTGCAACTTCTGAAAACTGCATTTCCATGGAAACACTAGAAGATCCAGCACATACCTCACTAGGGTTCTCAAGGCTACCATTATTGAGTAGGATCAAATCCTCACAAGTTTTACCAGATACTAGAAGATTCCTTTCCTGCAAAACATTAGAATTTCCATTGCAGACTGTTTTGAAATTTTCAGGACAAGTGCTACCAAACTGTGAACTATGATGTTCAGATGACACAAGGCAATTTTGTTGATCCAAGTTTGTTTCCAGGACAGAACTAGAGGCCACTTTATGGGGAGGCTCTGAATGAAGAGTTACTACTTCTCCATCCATTGGGCAGGATTCCATACTGGAAGCCACTAAGACCTTTAAACTTGAATTGGGAGTGGATACAGATGGAAATAATTCATTGTCTTCCTTTAAATTCCCAGATACTTCAGGATTACTGCTTGGTATTACAGTAAAGGACCTCAATGACCCATCAATTCCATCTTCATGAGCAGCCTGCAATTGATCTTCATCATTCAAAATTGAATTTAGGCAAGATCCACTATATATGAGGTCACCAGCAGTTTGATGGCCTAAATCGCTATTCTGAAGTTGTAATGTTTTCATTTGCTCATCACCATCTGCCAGCCTCCTAAGTTCCTGATGAAGAACCCGAGACTTGCTAGGCACTTTCTGGTAAATACACACCTCATTCTTCAAGCCTTTAATCCAGTCTGTCACATTTGAATTCAAATCAACATGAAGGTTAATCCCCTCTTCAGACCACACATAAAACTGGAAAGAATTAAGAGGTACTTCTGCAGAAGTCCCAGCAGAAGCAACCTTGTTCTCTGCTGAACAAGCACTGGAATTTATGTTCCTACATTGACTTGTTGGTACATTGGAAGACCCACCATCTCTAGTAGAACCTAGCAAATACTGATCAGAGATTGTTAAGCCCATGGATTTCAGGGACTCGTTCTTTTCATACTTCAAACCACTTGTATCAGACTGAGCATTGAACTGTTGGTGAGATGCAGAAACCTGAATGTCAGAAGCAGAATACCCCAACCCTCCTTCTCCAGTTCCATTACTAGAGTTATCTTTCATGGGCATGTTCAAAGCCTCACCCGATGCCTGCATTGTCCAAAAAAACATAAAAGGTCAGTTCCACATACACAGAAACAACCAACAAACAACATTACAAAACAATCTCTCCAAAGAACAAGAATTTTTCAATCATTCACAAGCTTAAAAGCTTCAAGTTATCTAAAATATTGAGAATGAGTACATGACCCAGAATTACACCTTCATAGACATTTGGACTGCAATGGAACTACACACTTCATTTTGATTAACAGTTTGAGACTGTGTACTGTCACAGCCCTTTGCCTCTTTGGAACACGAGGAAGGCCCACAGCTATCAGCATCAGAAGCATCAACACCTTGCATTCCTACAAGATCTTTTAAGACAATTAAAGAAGTTATTCAAGCAATATCCTTTCCTTCTTTTTATAAGAAATTCTAGTATCTTTTTTAACTACAAAATTTTCATTACTTAATATTAAGAAAATCTATAGATGATGCACACCTTTGTGGATTTCTCCCATAGGATTTATTTTTGGTACAGGTTCTAATTGTGAAGTAGATGATGTAGGTGCAGGAACATCCAAGGATCGACTCCAATTAGCTTTTTTCTACACATTCATTTAAAACAAAACAACATGAGGTGTTTAACACAAAACCCAGAAATAAGTGTTAAATATACCCAAATTTGGATATCATTGCCTTGCCTATGTTAGTCAGACTCAGGGAAAAAGATGGACTTTTGACATATTAAAAAGATGGTTTAGAAGATAAGTAAAAATTGAATACTGAAAAAAATAAAACAGGCCTCTTACAAGAAATATGGTATTGAGACATACAGAGTTGCATCAACATCATCTATAAATTACAGGCTGACCATCCAAATGAGTTTAGAAACTCAAAACCTTCACAACAGCCCATGCATTGGGATGCTGCTTATCAAAAAAGACCATGGGCCCGCAGCCCATATTTGCAGCCAGCATGCAAAACAGCCCATGCATTGGGCCAATTCCAGCAGTGATGGCCAGTTCAAGTAGGGGCCCATACTCTCTCAATCAAACATTTGAGACTCTTACAGATTTTTTTTAATCAAAGATTTGACTTAGCATCATATCAGTCGAAGATTGAGAAAATTTATTACTTATTGAAAAAAAAAATTATATATTTTAGATTTATTTCTTTCTTTCTTTGGTTATAAACATTGTTTTCGGATTATGAACGAATGAATTTTGATTTTTTTATCAATAACAGAATTTCATTAGATTTTTTAAAAAAATAATTTCAAGAAGAGGAGAGGTAAACTTTCTTAACTCTCCTCAAGAAAATTTACTATTACAATTGAGCCCAAAACAATTGATTTCTTCCCACCCCCTGTTTGCTAGTATATCAGCAAACTCATTAGCAGTTCATTTGAGTTTTGACCAAGCAAAATTTCACATCCATAATTCGTGTCAGCCACTTGAACCTCTTCTTTTCATTATTAAAAACTGAGAAACCCTTTTCTTCCTTTTGTAGACACTCTACTACCTGCTTTGAACCACCTTATATAATCAGCTTTCTAAGTTCATGCCCTTTCCCTTTTGTGACACCTCATAGCCCAAGATGCTTGCATACTCTAACATCTCCCCTTCTTCCATATTAACACTCACAATATAACTTTGATCAAAATTCACTTTTATGTTTGAGATTAGCTCAAAAAGTTGTATTGTCAGCTTGAGATTCTTTACCCAACTACTATTTCCTCCCTCACAAAATAATAATGTATCATCTGCAAATTGCAAATGTGTAATTGGAATTCTGTCATGACCAACCTTCCAACCCCTCACTAAATCTTATGAGTCTACCCTAGAAATTAGCTTCCTAAGGGTCTCAGCAATTAAAGTAAACAGAAAAGAAGAGAGAGGGTCTCCTTGCCTAATCCCTCTTAAAGCAAGGAAAAAAATTCACCACTGTTCCATTCACAAGCAAGGAGTAATGACAAGCCCTAATGCACCCCATTATCCACTTGCACCATCTCTCTCCAAAACCAAAGCTCCCTAATACTTACAATAGGAAAGACCAGTCCACTGTATCATAAGTTTTTTTCCAAATCCAATTTACATACAAAGTCTTTCTTTCCTCACGCACTCATTGGCAATGAGGATTTGATCAGCGATTTGCCTACCCCTTACAAAAGCATCCTGATTTGGAGAAATAATGGAGGAAAGAGTAACTCTAATCCTCAAAGATAGAACCATAGCTATAATTTTATAGAGACTGTTCACCAAGCTAATGGGTCTAAACTCACAAGGATATGTTGCAACATTTTGAATTACCCCTGCAAGTTTTATGGTTTGGTGCTGACTCCATTAGACCCATCTTTAGTTTACTGCAATTAGCTTATTTCTTGGTGATCTATTAAATTTCTGCCTTAATTCCAGGTTAGTTTTCTTTATTGTTCTACATTCCACTTCCATGGTTAGAGCATTGGTAGCAAGTAGTTCAACATGAGGGTAGGGAGAAGATACAACCCTAAGACCTAGACTCCTTCATGGGTCAGGTAGCCCAGCAGGCTTGCCTGCAGGATCGGGCTCAATCTGTAACAAGTATCAGGCCTGATAGTTGGGTTGGGCTTGAGCTCAAGCTTGGACATTCTCCATTAATAAAGAGGCAAATCCCAGCCAGCCCAGCCCATGATCAGGTCTACTAAGACTACAGAATGGATTTAGATGAGCAGATATGCCCATATATAACCCCTACCTCCTCCCTTGGCAGCAGATGCCTAATCTCCAAGGTTGAGTCAAGTGACCTACCAGGTCACAACACAATAGAGCACCCAAAATCAGTTTTCTTTTTTATTTTCTTGACCAGTAAGGCAGCAACACAGAAATTCATTCATTCATTAGGCTGTGTTTGGTTGCAATGCAAACACAAATAAGTACTCTGCATAAATACTCTCCTTCCAGTTCAAGAATGCAAAGTGTAATACTTTTTGTATTCTTCCTGTTTGTTTGAAATTGGTGCAAGACATGGGCCCCATCATTAAATGCCTTAATTTTTTTGTCAAACACACCAACTATCAAAAGAGCACAAGTTTGTATCCAAAAAATGGGTACAGTAATGTGCTCTTCTCACGATACAAAGATGTCAGAAAAAACATTTTTGACATTTTAGTCGTTACTTTTTTGTATGGCAACCAAATGCTCAGAAACGCTGAACTGGGGTATTGTATTGCAAACAAATGCAGCCTTAATAAAAAAAGAAATTACAGCCAGAAGTTGTGAAGAAACTATCTAACCCAATACAAGACAAGCCCACCCTGCTGTATCATGCAGCCTTTATTACAACTGAGCCCAGTACATATGTTGTCTATTTACTCCTTGTTTTGCTTAACCATCTGCTAAACTATTGGCAGATCTCCTAACCCACTTGATTTTAATTATCATATCTCCTTTTGTTACTGGAAACGGTAACTTCATTACTACAAAATTAAGATACAATTGACAACCCCTAATATAGGTGTTGAACCCAAGTAATCTGAATTACAAAACTGCCCAGAAGAAACTTCCCCTCACAGTCCCCCGTTTGGCTAAGGTATCAGCCAGACCATTAGCTGATCTTCTTTTCCACTTGAAGCATGCACCAATCTCCCTTGTTATATTCAGAATTTCCCATATGGACTGTCAATACATCCATGCTCCCAGCTTGCCTGATTGCAGCCAATCCATCAACAATTTAGAGTCTCCTATCTCAACTTGGTGCAACCCCAATTGTTTGACATATCTTACACCTTGAAGCAAAGCCATCACCTCGGCCCTCAATGAATCCCCCACCCTTATTGGCCCAGAAATCATAGCAACAATTCTCCCATCTCCATCTCTGAATACTCCCCCTTTACCTGAAGGCCCCGGATTACCTCTAGAGCTCCCATAAAAGTTCAACCTTATATAGACAAATATGTATAAAAGCTTCCACATCACCCCTACACCTTTCTTTAGCCACCCCACTACCAGTTTCAAAGCACCCACAATCTAAATATATAGATAAATATGTATAATATATATATATATATATGTAAATATAAATAATTAGAGTACACAAAATCAATGAACTATTACATAAAAAGGAAAAGAAAAATACGGATTCTGTTTTATCCATGAGCTCATTTTCAATTATGTAGGCAAATGCAACTTAATTGCCAAAAATACTTTATTCACAAGACAATTTACCTGAAAAAAAGAGACCAGCAACTTGACCAAATTCGAATTTGTCTTATTAGCAGAGAGACCATGTTTCTTGCACAAACCTTGAAGCTCTTTACGAGATAGGTTGTGATAGAAGTCTTTATCTTCCCAATTCCCCATTCAGTTGGTCTCAAATGTAAAATTAGTCCAAGTGTGCAAAATATATAAAGCCAAACCTGCCCAAAGAGAAACCAGATTCCATTAGATCAGAAAGTAGATTAGGGGCACCTCTAAGAATAAAATGCACTTCTGCTTCATCCCAGAGATGGACATAACATTTTGAAGTACAAAGGGATCAAAATTTCACATTGAATGGTTAAATAAGAGAGCATCACAATTCCAAATCCATCCATCCCCCCCTCCTATTCACATACCTTTCTATCATAGTTGTCAAGGCGTCGCCTAGGTGACTAGGCCCCCTTGGCTGGGCGCCTCGCCCAAACGCCTTGACTTTTAGCAACTAGGCGCCCTTCTAGGCGACTAAGCGCCCACCTAGGTGACAAAAATGATAAGGCAGGCGCCTTTTATAATATCATTTATATTGCTGTATCTTATTAATGTATGTGTTAATACATTTTATTATATACTATATATATCAATTATATTTTGTTTTAATGTTTTACTATTGAAATTTAAAAGATCAAAGGGTTTTGAGAAGAGAAAAAGAAAGAAAGAAAGAAAAGAAAAGAAAGGGGAAAGAAACAATAGAATAATAAAGTTCTTTTTTTTCTATTCTCTCTCTAATTAAATAAAAGAGAAACTCCATCCTTGTTTTCTTTTCTATTTTACTTTTCGTCTTGAATATTTATCATATAAAGTTAATAACCTTCTTTAGCTGCTAATTAATATGAATTTGCTCTATTAAATACTTATTATAGTAGTATTATTTTTGAAAATAATGAAATTAATATATGTAAAAGATTTTTATCTTTTAGATGTGATGATTTGCCACATTTTTAGAGGAAATTTAATGTTCTTAATAAAGAGAATTGCTATTTTTCAATTAACATACATGCTGAATGGTATATAAAACTAGGAAACTAGCCAAAAGTCAGTTTTTCATATTATAAAATTTTTATCGCCTAGGTGACTAGGCGCCCCAGTGTCGCCCAAAATCGCCCAGACGCCTTGAAAACTATGCTGTCTATATTTATGTTGAGGTTTATCCGGACTATATTCAAACAAGCAAATTAGATCAAAATACAACAAGTTCAGAGTTTAAATTAAAAAGAAAAAAAATCATTCCTGCTACACTCGTAGGTCCAAAGCATTATATATCATGCTTAGGATGTGGCAAAAAGATTGTAAAATACTCCTTGCATTTCACAAGAGGACACAATAATGCCTTTCTTCTCCACCATCTGAGTCATTCACTTGAACAAAATTCTTGAAGAATGAGTGGTTTATTTGTTTGGAGTGTTTGGATCAAAGTAGAGATCTGGTTTTATATGTTTTGATTCTTTAGTTTATGCTTTTTTTTATTTCTTTAAAGAGTTATAAAGGTGATTTGTGATCAGGGGTAAACTCGTTTTATTGTAATTAAAAGTTGATAATATAAATGGAATAGAAGTTGTGCATATAAACTACTAGAAAATTAGAAACTAAACAAATTTGTAACAGAGCATCAAGGCCTTGGTGGTGTCCAACTTCTTTCATGAAACTCATACAAACTTACGATCAGCAAGAAGCATGGAATTTTGAAAATGTTGGTCATTAACACTTGGATTGCCTGGTGTTGGGAGGATTCTTGGAGAGCTAACTAAAGGTCATTTGGGGGCTCAAATGGAGATATTGAAATATTTTCCAAAAATCAAGAAAACCAGAGAATTCTAGGTAGAGTTCTGCATTGGCACCTAGTCATTCCTTGATTGGTTTCAATTTTGAGAAGTTCTATTGAGCGGTAGGCTTTTTGATCCTCAGGGACAACACCTTGGCAATCAATTTATAAATACTTGTCACAAGGCTAATTGGCCTAAAATCTATTAGGCAGTAGGCTTCAGTCTTCTTTGGAACCAGAGCAATGAAATTTGAATTCATACCCGAACTGTGAAATCTAATCAATTAAATTGAGAAGGACATTTCTCCAAAGGGCAATGGACAATGCAACAAGGGACGGTCAAGCAGAAAAATCTGACAGAATCAAAAGTAACCAAGAAAATGAAAAAAAATACAATAAGAGGCCTGGTAGGAAATTTGAAAACTAAAATAGAAACAGCAATTCAAAAAATAAATAAACAACTAGATATGTTCAAGGAAAATGACTTTATGCAGAATGGAACTGGTTAGGCAGATCCTATCAGTTTATTAAAAATGAAAACGGTTATTGATGAGGGCAGATTTGGCCCTCCAGTGAAATTGCGACACGTGGCACCTCGTGACAAACAGAAGACACCCAGGCAACAACTTACCAAGTTGGTGTCCCACCCGGGCAACGGCCTGGCCGGCTTGGCGCGGCCTGTGCGACCTAGCCGACCTGGATCAGCCTGGCACATGATCCGACCTAGCCGACCTATATCAGCCCGGCACATGATCCGACCTGGCCGACCTGGCAACCCATAAGACGTGCCCACCGATAAACTCGGCATGCATACCCCACGATACGTGGAGGCCGGCCCACGTTCCGGAAGTTGGTCAACGTGCATGGCGGTTACCACCAAGGAGCTCGCCAAGGAGCTAGGCAGCTCTCCAAGGAGCTCGCCAAGGAGCTCGACAACTCTCCAAGGAGCTCGCCAAGGAGCTCGTCACCAAGTAGCCACCAGGGAGCTCGTCGCCATAGGCAGTTCGGCATATCGCAGGAAGATCTCCTACCTGACAACCGTACCTGACAAATCTAGTGGCAGCGCCCACATCTCTTGCCAGACGGCGTCGTGCCTGCCGTCTCTAAAAAGCATGGCACGCCTGACGAGTCCGTACCCTACAACAGCAGTCTGCACCTGTCACCTCAGTCCTGGCAATAATGGCTTGGGCAGTGGCGGTTACGCCTGATGTGACTGGGCACCACTATATAAGGACTCCGACCCCCAAAGCCAAGGGGGAGAGAATGGAAAAAATGGAGGTAATCCCTGCTCTCTAGCTCTCTCATTTCTCCAATATCATCTTCAAGCTCTCTACAATCAGAGTGCTAACTTAAGCGTCGGAGAGTCCCCACCGAGAAAATACCCCCGGGTCCTCTAATTCAGTTCTCGCAAGTCCCTCAGCTCCCGCTGCCTACAAAGAGGAGGAAAAGATGGAGTTCTCGCAGGTCCCTCAGCTCCCACTGCCTACAAAGGAGAGAATATCACCTCATGCAGAGGGCAGTTGGGTTGCGCTGCACCAGGGAGCTCCACCATTCTCTGAGTCACAGGCCGCCTAGGAGTAGGGAGCTCGTCACCAAGTAGCTCGTCACTAGACAGCTCACCACCAGGGAGCTCGTCACCAGGCAACTCACCACCAGGGAGATCGTCACCAAGTAGCTCGTCACCAGGTAGCTCGCCACCAGGTAGATCACCACTAGGGAGCTCGTCACCAGGCAGCTCACCACCAGGGAGCTCGTCACCAAGTAGCTCGTCACCAGGTAGCTCACCACCAGGGAGCTCGTCACCAGGCAGCTCACCACCAGGGAGCTCGTCACCAAGTAGCT